TAAATATCAGTTGATTTTGTACAATATTCAACACCTAAATCATATTGTTTATTTAAACCATAGTACCAACCAATATTATTATAATCACTTGCAATTTTTAGTTTATCCCACGGTTCATTTGTTTCTCGTATTACTAATGCTTTTAAGTAGTATTCAATTGCTAAACTATATTCATTCATGTCACCATATAATGATCCAATCAAACGATACACAACAGCAATATCCGATGGTGTCGTAAACGAATTCAAACATTGCTTGTAATATTCTAATGCAACATTGTACTCAGTTTTTGATTTATAACACCAGCCAAGATTTCGGTTAATACGACCAATTTCATCGCCTGTGAAAACAATGAAAAGCATCTTCAAGAAAAGTCAAGTGGCGCTTCAAGAAAATATTCTGCGATAGAGAAATTTCTTTATTTTTCAAATATTTTTTCTATATACAAATCTGCAATTTATTAAGAATATTTCTGTTGGGATACTCAATTTTTTGAAAAGGTTAATTTTTAACATCACTAAACAGTCAATTAATTGAGCTATCCAACGAGAGAAAATGATGTTTTTTAAAACATTATTTTCTAAACGAGAAATGAGATATAAAGAAAGGTCAGTCGTTGCGCTTATTATTTAACTTAAATTTTTTTTAAAATTTAGGCTTTAGAATAAACTAAACATGCCTCTCAGCGGTTAGTCGTACCTGTCGTGTAGGAACTACGAAGAGTTTTTAGCTGATATAAAACAAAACTTAACTGGTTTTGTGAATTATTTATGAGATCTATTGGAGTTTCTCATATTAAACTAGGAAACTCTTACGAGGGAACCGCCCCAACTGTTTCGCGAGTTTCGACTCCATATTACCAGTGGAAGGAGATCTGGATGAGACTAGAAAAAGCCTAAAAGGATTTGGGCCCATGCTTTGATTTGACCGAAATATCGAATTTTGACTGGATTTTCCCTGCAGGACCTCGGTTTTTTAGCAAAGTCAAATTTTCGAATTTCGGTCTGAAACTTTGCACATAGAAAGGTCACCATTACAGTAGTTTGTAGAAAAAATTTCAGAATTTTTGGACAATACATCTTTGAGATATGAATTTTTCAAAATGTGGGGGCTTTACGATAGATATTGCCAAAAAGGTCATATCTCAAACATGTATTGTGCAAAAATTCTGAAATTTTTTCTACAAACTACTGTAATGGCGGCGTTTCTTTGTACAAAGTTTCAGATCGAAATTCGAAAATTTGACTTTGCTAGAAAGCCGAAGTCCTGCGGGGAAAATCAAGTAAAAATTCGATATTTCGGTCAAATCAAAGCATGGGCGCAAATCCTTTTAGACTTTTTCTAGTCTCATCGAGATCTGCTTCCACTGATAATATGGAGTCGAAACTCGTGAAACAGTTGGGGTGGTTCCCTCGTTAGAAATATTATTATACAAGAATTACATACAAACCCAAAGGAATTTTTGAAGCAATTACTAATTTCACTGTGATACTTTAGGTCAAATATAAAACTCGTTTTGGCTACTTTTGAGAGTTTTCTAAAATTCTCCTTTTATGCGAGGATATGTACGAATTTCAATCCTTCCCGTCTTGTTTTACGTCTAGATATTAAAACGAAGGTACTTTGTTGCTAAACGTTTTTGTGATGACGAAAAAGCCGGAAAAAGGCCTTAGACAAAGGCTATCAATGTTGTTTTTATCTGCTGTGTAATATGTCAAAATATCGATAGTCGTTCTCTTTAATGACATCTAGAAACAACGATGTTTTTAAGTTAAAAATGTATATGCAGTCTGCTGTAAAATAAGGTATTTTATAGACTATTGTTGATGCTCGTACTGACATCCTATTAAAAAAATTTTAGAAAGATATTCTTTTTGCTTAAAATTTACCTTCGTATTCGTGTTGTTCTAATAATTCTACCCAATAGTCAATAGCTTCGCTATATTCGTTTCTTCTATAGTAAATGCATGCAATTGAATCTAAAATGTTCGACATTGATAAATCAAATGTCTTGCATATTTCTAAACATTTTTTATAATATTCTAATGCTTTATCATAGTCATTTTTCATTTCGTAACACAAAGCTATTATTTGCACGATATGAATATTATTATCACTGACTTGTTGCATTATTAATGCTTTTTTACCATGATCAATTGATAAATCGTATTCTCTTACATAATAATAACAACATGCAATTGTGTGATGAATGGTTATACGATTTGATTTATCACGTAGTCGTGTTAAAGTCATTTGAAAATATTCAATAGCTAAATAATATTTATCTTGTTGATAATAGATATTAGCTAATGCATGATAAATGTCACCGCGTTTTAATTCATCTGTTGTTAATAATAAACTTTTTTCATAATATTTTATTGCCTGAATATAATTATTTTTCTTTTCATAACAAATAGCAATACTTGTGCGATAATGATATAATTGATCAATATTCTCATCAGCACTATTTATTATTAATACTTTATAATATTTAATTGCTGAGTCATATTCTTTCGTTTCTAAATATAAAGTGGCTAATAGTTCATAAGCGGGCAGATAATTGAATGATGATGAACATTGTGTATACAAGCATAAACAGCTTTCATAATATTGTAATGCTTGAGTATATTTATTCTGCTTTAAATAACAAGAGCCAATCAAATTGTATAAATTAGCCAACTGACGTTCATTATCATTAAGATTTAATTCATACGTATCGAGTTCTTTTTTGAAATGTTTAACAGCTAAATTATACTGTTGTTTATTAATATAATAGATCAAACCAATTGTATGGTGTATACTGGCAGATTCATTACTATCATTTGTTGTTAAAGAAATTAATTTTATAGATTGTTTGTAATATTTTAATGAACGATCATAGTCGTTTGTCTTTTTATAATAATAAGCAAGTAATAGTGTTAAAGAACAAATTTCATCTAAATTACAGGGTTTGACTAATTTTATCAAACGTAATTCTTTTTGACATTGTTCTAGTAAGTAGTCGTAGTTAATCATATCTTGCATAGATTCTTGCATCTGAAATAATTAAGAAAAGAGGGAAATGAGATATTCACATGCACATGGTACGTTGAATTCCATGAAATTTCATCGTTTGAGAAAAAATTCGACTTTATGTTTCTTAAACTGAAACCTATAATTATGAATCATTTCACGTAACTAAACGATTCTTATTGTGGCCTTCTCTGAAATAACTAAACATATCTTGGATGAACTTTAATTTTAGGTGAAAAAATCTGATGGTTTCTTACTGTTAGCTAACTGTGATCAAGAATAAATCGGTCATTTAGCAGTTTACTTATATTCGGCCGAATAACCTTAATGCTTTTAAAAAAATCCATCACGAAATCGTCTACAGGCGTTGAGAATCCTACTATACAACATAAAAGCAAATACTTTGAACTTGTCAAATTTGCACTTGCATTTTCAAAAAATCCATACTCATTTTTAACACGTTATTATGATTAAAGATAGAGCCTATTACACCTCCACTAGAGCCCATCGGGTCCAGATCTGAAAATTCTGAATTTATCGGGTCCGGGGCCGGGTCCGAAGATTTTGAATTCAACGGGTCCGGATCCGGGTCCGGGTCTATACATTTTTATTAGCCAGAAAAAAATCCACTACGAAAAATAATTCCATTATTTTTATTTTCGTTTATTTCTGTTCTTTTTATTCAAAAAATGTTTAGCAATAAACTCATGATCTTTTTTTAGATTTTTGTATACATATTTTATTAAGTAAA